AGTGATGACCCATCCCACCAGCCACAGAAACAAGCATTTTAATAACTGCTGTGGGGCTGCAAATAGATGGCTCAGTGGTTAAGAGCACTAGCTACTCTTCTAGAGGACCCGGGTTCAATTCCCAGCACTCACATAGCAATTTTAAACTGTCTGCAGCTCCAGTTCCAGGGCATCTGACACCCTCACACAAGCATATATGTAAGCAAAAGAGTGCATAATTGAAAAATAATCATTTTTTAAATCAGCTCATTAAGCCTGGCAGTGGTGGTGCACGCCTGAAATCCCAGCACTCAGAGAGGCAGAGGCAGGTGGATCACTGTGAGTTTGAGGTAGCCTGATCTAAAAGCAAGTCCAGTACAGCCAAGGCTACACAGAAAAACCCTATCTTGAAAAAAAGAAATCAGTGATGTCAAATAAACCAGCTTGTTAAACCAGAGCTGCCTGTGGTCTGGACTGAAAGTGGTAAAAAGGAGAAGGTAAGTTTCTTAGATACACTTAATGGTATCATTCTTATGTGCTGGGATATGAAGCTTGGGACAGAGCACCATCTACCTCACTAGAGGCCCTGAGTTCAGGCCCAGTTACCAACTAAAACCTGGTAGGCTATGACACCAGTCTGTTCTTTGGAGACAGGCTCTTGCTCTGTAACCCAGACTGGCCTGGTACTCACTGTCTAGGCCAAGTAAGCTTATGGCAGTCGTCCTGTTGGCTTTCTCAGGATTGTGGGTATCAACAACTATATGTAGCAGTAGAAATATTTTTTTATTTGCTTGCCCTGCATGTAATTGTATCTTAACTAAAGTCATAGGCTCAAATTAATTTTTAACCTTTAGTTTTGAAATTTATGAACACAAGGAGAGTTGGCTTTTTACCTAATAACTCTGAAGTAATATTAAGTTGATTTACTTGAATTTAAGTATATATTCTTACAAGTTTAGAGAAAGAAGCAGCAGAAAAGGTCGTCTGTGGTCCCTGTTCTAATGTTTATCTCAACTAAAACTCTTCTCTCTCAAGACTGTTAGGTGCTAACTTTATGTTTAAGATACAGTCATTGCATTATGCATAATCACTGATTGACAACCACATGATAATTACCTGAGGTATCAAAAGTAGTCCCTGGGAGAATTCCCATTTTGTTTGTGTTAGAAGCCTAAAATGTTTAGGCACATGCCTGTCACCCCAGCAATTGGGGGTGAAGGTAAGTATCAAGAGTCTAGGCTCATCCTCAGTTACTTCTATGTAGGGTCTGAATTTAGTAACTCAGACTCTCCTCCCTGTAGTTGCAGAGAGAAAATAAATTAGTTTTTTACATTACTTTAATGTTGCTCGAGAATTTTATTTGGAATGGGCACAGTGGCACATGCCTATAAACCTGGCACTCAGGGAGGGAGAGGCAGGCAGATCTCTGTGAAAATGAGTCCAGGATAGCTAAGGCTATACAGAGAAACATTATTTGGGCCTACTTATTCCAGAGGGTGGTCCGGGTGTACATAATGGTAGAGAAGACATGATAGCAGGTGCAAGATGCTGAGAGATCTCACCTTTCATCTGCACACAGGAAGCAAAGAGCAAAAACCTCTCAAGCCTACTTGTGAGATACAAGCAAGGTGCTTTTCTCCAGGCAGTGCTGACCAGGTGTTGAATTACGTGAGGCCATTTTGTATTCAAACCACTACAGTCTCCAAGCCATTTTGATGCAGTGGTGGAATTTGGAATAACTGGTAGATAATCCTTTTCCAAGCTGCTGCAGTTTGCTTTGGTACATTGTGATATTTTGTTTCCGTGGGTAATTGACAGTAAGAGTTTTGGATGCTTATTATTTGTGACTAAATTCACAAGCATGGCTACATAGACTTCTTGCCATGTGTCCTTTGCTGTCTTTACTTGTTTACCATGAATACAGAAAATCTGCATGAGGCATTTTATGACCTTTCCCCTGATCTCATTAGGTCCAGTGAAATTTTATAAAAGGAGTTTTAGAATTACGTGCACAATCTAATTTTTCACTTTCTTCTTGAATAGTTTGCTTTTTGTAGCACTGAACAGCAGGCACTGATGGTTAATACTAGCGGCTAAAAATGATCACTCTAGGTAAGAGGTGTGTGTGTGTGTGCATAGAGGTCAGAGAGCAGCCTGGGGTGTTGAGGAGGTTCTGTTTGGAGGATCATTTCCTCTGCGTCTAGTTTGTAGGTCCTCAGTCTGAACCATCAGCTTGTGTCCTCTGCTGAGCCCTGGGATGGGGGGTGGGTTGGGAGAGTATGTACAGGCACCATGGTGTGTATGTGGGGGTGAAGGATAATTCTGTAGAGTTGATTCTTCTAATTCTTCTACGTGACTGAAATGCCAGCTCTTCCCAAGTGACCAGCGTTTTCTTAGCTTATTGAAAACATTCTCTCGGCAGTCTCTAGTTCCAGTAAAGGAAGGTACAAAATATTTTTGTTAGTGTTTAGGCAGATCATAAACAGTTGGAGCTGTAGACCATGTTTAACCCCAGATAATCCATTCTTCACATAGCAGCTAAAATGTTATAAATCAGTTGAATGATGGAACTCCAGCTCCGGGCCAGCCAAGCCTATATAGTGAAATCATGTCTCCAAAAAAAAAAAAAAAATCTGAAAACAAAAGTTGGTTTTTTCAAGTGGGTCTATTTATATCTGCAGCCCACAGTGCTTCGCACTCTGACCTGTCCTGTTTGGGCCTGCCAAATGTGTTTATTGTATTAGGACCTGGAGAGCGAGCATGTACTGTACTTGAAGGTGACTTAAATTCCCAGCATCCACTGGGTGAGGTAGTGCACGTTTTTAATCCCAGGAGGCACATGGTCTACAGCGAAAAAATGAAGTCCCAGCATCCATTTCAGACAGCTCACCGACACCCATAACTCCGGCTCCAGGGCATCTGATGTCTTGGGGGCTCCTATGTGCCCTCGTATGTATGCAAGAAAACACAAGCATACAACATAAATGTGACTGTAAAATGGATTGTTACCAATGTTTGTGAGAGGAAGTGTGTCTGTTTTTGAGACATAATGGCTCTATGATTGTAGGTACGCTGTTTAACCCGAGTTTTCATAATCTTTAAAGCAATCAGTCCCTACCTCGTAGGGTATGTGTAAGGATCGTAACTAATTGATAGCACAAGCATTTATTACTAGCTGTTATTTTCCATAGAACATACGCTTTCTTTTTTCTGTTTCCTTGATTTGTTGAGCCATGCCTCTCAGCCTGTGCTGACCTTGAGCTCAGTATGTAGCAGTGAAGCAGATGTCTCTGAATTGAGACAGTTTCTCTGTGTGGCCCTGGCTGCCCTGGAACTCTTCTACAGACCATGTTAGTCTCTGATGAAGAGGCCTGCCTCCTGAATGCTGGGATTAAGCCACCACTGCCCAGCATGAATTCTTAATCTTCCTATCTCCACTACTCAAGCACTGGGATTACAGGTATGTGTTCCCACGTCCAGCTAGATGTCCAGAATTAGGAGGTGTCCTTACGGTGAGGGAAACAGCCCTTCCCAGTCATTGGCAGGATGTTTGCTGTGATGCCTCTGGAAGTGTGCTTGTCAATCATAGTCTGTTGGCAACATCTCCTAGGAGCTGTTTCTTTGAAAATCAGTTTCCAAATGAGATTGGTTGTGGGTTTACCCTGTTGGTCAGTGTTGAACTTTTCACCTGGTTTTAGGGAAGCTGTGCTAACACCGGCACAACAGCAAGCACCTTGTAACCTTGTAGCTGACAGAGGTCTGAGATGTTCCAGTTTACTGCTTGGATTTCAGAACCCAGCCTTCCCATTTAACATAACTGGGGGTTATGAGGACATCAGGAAGCAGTGTTGAAAAGGTGCTCTGGAAGTTTGTGTACTTGAGGTAGAAGAGATTGGGAATTAGAATTAAAGAACCTCAATAATTGTAAAGTGAATTTGATTGGTTCCTTGGTTGAATGGTCCCAGCCTGCTGAGACTTTTGTCCTTGTGCGATTCTTGCTGGGAATCTCACCTGGACCTGAGCCAAGCCTTGGGTTGAGATGGGCCTTTTAGGAGTCTAGCTTTGGTGCCAGGTTGTGGCTTTTTTCTGTGAATGGTGATAACTGTCTTGGAAACACTCCCACTCTGACTCGAGATAAGGAAATAGGGAAACCTGCCAAGGTGTGGGAGAGCTGATAGGGACCAGCATACTGCCAACCACCCTGCAGACCAGTGAGCATCTGAGCTAGGCTATATAGCCAAAGGCTCATTCAGGTCCTGCAGCACAGCTGCTGCCGCCCCGGCAGCTGTTCTGTGGCACAGGATTTGTACTTGAAGTGAGGATCGCTTGCCCTCTGGGCTTCCCAGCTGTCACAGTCCTCCAGGCAGAGGTGCTGTGAAAGTCTGCACTAGAGAAGAGGTTACCTAGAATGACTCAGGACGTGGAGAGCCTAGGACAGGGTTCCGTCTTCAAAATCGCCTGCTTGAGGATAGGATTTAGAAATGAAGTGTTCTCTTTCCCAGACTAGCTCGGAAGCTGCAGGTCATTTGACAGGCTGCAACCAGGGCAGAGAAGGCCAGCAGGAACTGTAAGCAACAGCAGTGAACTTGGCAAGATCTTCCTGGTGTTTTAAAATGGAAGCTAAAGCACTTTTCATAAGCTGCAGTTCTATAAATCATGTGTTACGTCATGTGACCAGTGCTGCTTTGGCATCGTGGTAGGTAGGCTCACCCTCATCCAGCAGCTGCTGTCTAATCACCTCTCACCCTACCCTGGCTAGGTTGGTCTCTTAGCATCTAGGCTTTAGAAAAACACACTTTAAAAGCCCTTTATGGGAAAAGATTCTTTTGCGAAAAGGGATCATGAACATGGGTTTGTTTTGGTTAGAATGTAGGTAAACCACATTCAGGTAGCCGGCTGTAGTAGCCTCAAGCTCTTGTCTGTTGAAACTGAGCCAGGATCTTGGCTATCTCATTCTGGCTTCAAACTCTCCAAGAACATTAGTTTTTGGTTTGATTTTTTGTTGTTTGAGACAGTGAACTTCCAGTATCTCAATGCTACGAACAACCCTTTCCTCAAAAGCTAAGACATTGCTGAGGTGTGAAAAGCAATTTGGCCTTTGGCAGCATGTAGAGAGATTTACGCTCTGGGTGAATGAAAATAGATTACAGGCAGTTGCAGGTTTTGTTTGGTTCAGTTTTTTTGGTTTAGTTTTTTTTTTTAATATACCAACTATAATTCCCATCAATGTATCTTTGAAGAAATGTAAACTGTTCATACATTCTCTTAAACATCACAGTGTAAAACAAGTACCCGTATGTGTGATAGGGCAGGCATAGGGCCCACCTGCTCTGCCTGTGGCACAGGCCTTGGCCACACTGGTAAAAATGCTGTCTTTGCTTCTGCACAGATGTTCTTGTGCCATCCCACTGGAGCACCGGGTGGACCCCAAGGAAGGGTGGGGGTGGGGAGGGGAATCTTTTGAAATGTTTCCAGGAGCTCTGTCCAGCTAGCTGTCTGCTCATCGTCCAGCCCCGGAGTGCTGCAGGGAGCTACAAGGACACTGCTGAGACTATAGACTGCTGCTGCCATCTTCCAGGGAAGATCTGGCCTGGAGTGTGGCTGCCTGGATTCGAAAATGTGTCCTCGACTCCATGGAGTAATTCTTGTAGTTATGCCTGAAGGGAAGCAGAGGATCAGACAGGTGAAGCTTGGCTGCTCTGGGAGGTGGGTCAAACCCCAAGGCCCATTTGAGCTATGTGGGACACCACCACCATTACCACCATCACCACCATCTCATTTATGTAAAACATAAGAACTGGGCCTGCCCAATAGAAGGCTTCTTTAAAAGGGTGTGCTCTCTGCCACTCTGCCACTCTTGGTGACTTTGTAAAGTGAGGTAAAAGCTCACTTGTGACGGGTCAGAGCTGCATTCCCAGAACACTCCTCATTGTTGCCCGGGTACTTCAGGAAAGGTGGAGGTTGACCAAGCCTTACTTTGCAGAGTCTAGGAGTTTGATGGCCTCTTCATTTCTGCCTTGCTCCATAAACAGCAGTGCCAGCTCCAGTAAGGCATTTGGAATCAAGTAGTGGTCATATTTGATCTTCTTTTCGCTGCAGAACAGAAGCAGACATGGCCCATCCTTCAGATCCACCCCACAGCCTTCTCAGAACTCCGCATCTTACCTTAGAGAAGCTGGGCTCCTCAACAGAGCCTCCCTGCATCCCGTGGGTCCCACCATGTCCTTAAGGCTCTCCCTATTTCATTTCAACTACTATTTTTTTCTCCAGGTTGAATGGGATCTCGGACCCATTCACCATGCTGCCTTGGAGACAAACACCACAGCCTCCCTTGCGATATCCTTTCCTGACTGTCTGTCCAGGCACATGCCACATAAAGCTTTCTCCTTTGCTTTGATCGACCGGCTAAACTTCCAGATTTTATTATTTATTGAAATAAGGTCTCACAGTGTCTTAGCCTCAAACTCTAAGAGACCCTCCTCCTGCCTCTGCCTCCCAAAAGATGAAAACCTGTCACAGAGTAGACATCGTGTGTGAATGCATTAGCTGGAAACAGCCACCGTAGAGGAGTGGGAGGATGGGGAAGCCAGGCCCAGCAGGAACAGCCAAAGGCACTTACTTGATGGAGATGCTCCTGAAATTCTCCTCTGCCTCTTGGGTGCGGCCCAGGTATTTCAGACACAGGCCTTTCAGCAATTTGACCAAGCAGTCGTCATCTGTTGAGTACTCATTCTCTGAGAATAGGGGTGTGGGGAAGAAGGTAGGCTTGCTCACTTCTGCAACAGTTACTCAGGGAGCCCCTCTGTGGAACCCAGGACACAAGTGAATCAAGACATGATTCACCTCAGGGGACTCACATCTGAGAAGAAAAGACAGATACTGAGATAATGGCTCCAGAGTGAATTAGGAATGACTAGAGGAAGCTCAAGAGAAGGCCTGGACAAGGAGACAGGGGACACTTGCTCAGAGGAGCTAACGCTGGTCTTCTAAAGGACTGGGCACTGCATAGAGGGGTGAGTAAGGACGTTTGTGGCAGAGGAGCCTTGGTCTCTTAAAGGCCTGAGCATGATACCTGGGCCCGCCGCCAGCCTCTCTTCAGCCTTGGTGATGACTGCAAGCATCCCATCTGTGAGTTTTGGCTGCTTCCCAATCACAGCGTAGCCATTCCAGATGTACATCATTTCCTGAGAGGGAGTGGGGCAAGTGAGTCCCAGGTCTCTGCCTCAGCAGGGCCTCAGTTTTCCCATCTGGAAAGCAGGCAGCGCAGTTCAAAAGGTCTGACCTTCCAGGTCTCCCCTCAGCCCCTGTGGGGAGGCAGCCTTAGCAGGGATTTGTTATTGACAGCGTAACTATCCCATGAGGATTTTTTTTAGCCAAACTCCCCCTCCTTGAGGACCTGGCCATGCCCAACACTGTCCAGGAAGTCCCCTCCTTTATTGGAGGATCTCAGGACAGTGGAGCCCAAGATTGTCACTTTCCCTTGGATAGCGGGCTCATCATGGAAATTAGAAAACATCTTGATTCCTTTTTTCCTCTTTGGGTGACAGGAAACTCATTAAATTTTCATTATGAAGAGTCATATTTCCTAAGCATCAAGCCAGGTAATTGATATGAATGCAATTTATATAAAGCCCTAAAAGATTATGGTTATGGTTCTTGTTACTGTGGATTTAGATTGAGATCACTGTTCCTTAAGTTGCTCTGTGATCTCATGATGGAAAACTGGCTGTGAAGGCTCTAGAGAATCAGGAGTAGGCCTGTCCTTCCCAGTGTGCTTAATCACAGATCACTTCATACATAAATTGTGGGTATAGGCATGTCTCCTGCCCTTCTCATAGTGCCCCCAATACAACTACGTTTTAAATTTTTTTTTAAGACAGTATCTCCTGCCTCAACCTTCCAAGTGGTGGGCTTGCAGACATGTATGGTAAAATACTGTAAAAGTTACACAGACATATTCATTGTACATTATCTGTGGCGTCTCACACCTCTGCAGGAACTGGGCTAGGTGCCAAGGAAGATGCTGACTTTACAATTGGTAGAAGGACACTAAGGTTACACACTATTGAATGGAGAGCTAGGTCACAAAGTAGGTCCAGAGCAGGCCTTGTGCTTTTCCAGACTCGGCTTATCTGATGCCAGCTCCAGTCATAGTAGAATTGGCCTAACAGTGGCCCTGGAGCCTCACAGCTGAGTTTTCACTCCATCTGTGTGGCCTAGACAAGCTAGTCATCTTTCTACTGATCTGCTCGAAGTCCTAAGTTACCCCCTACCATGCAGGTCTTGTTCCAAGTCAAACAGAACCTGGCCTGAGACCCCAACCCTCGCCTCAGAAAAGGATGGCTATGTGACAACAGAACAGTCATTCCAGGAACAAGCCAGCCACGTGGTCCTGCTGTTTGGGGCTGGGGTGTCTAGTTGTCTAGGAGAGCTGGTCTTCCTGGCCTGTCTCCCAACCCTGACTCATGAAACCATCTCTAGCCCCGGCATCCACCTCCTGCCCCAGAGCCTCTCCTCCTACCCACCAGAGCAGGGACTGGCAACGAGATGGGGTTGGGGGAGAGGTAGCGCCTGGACTTCCGGATGGCAAACTTCTCTGTGGGTAGAGATTTCCCAGCAATCTTGAGCTTCAAGCCCGGCACAGCCCTGAAAAAGAAATGAGGAAAGAAGGGTTGAAGATGCAGTTCAGTGGGAGAGCTCCTGCCTTAACGCGCTCAACTCCTCAGCAACAGTGAGCAGGAATACAGGGAGAATGAGAACGAGTCTCCAGCCTCTGCTTGGCCTGTCTAGACCTGTTTCCATGCTGTACCAGGAGAGAGCTTGATCTAAAAAGTGTTTCAAGGTGCAGGCCAGCCTGTGGTTATGGTCTCATTTCACAGTCCCTGCATCCTGAGCAAAGGTTCCCGGGCTGGCAGTGCAAGAACGTACCTAGATATCTCCTAGGCCTGCCTGCGAGTTATCTCCTCTCTATGCCCAGGCCTTCCTGGGAGGGCCCACAGAAGTCTAATCCCAGCTTCACAGGCAAGACCAACCCCCAGACAAAGGGAGGGGCCTGCACAGGCAAGCAGCTCAACCCCTTAATTAGCTGCAGCCTCCTGAGCTGTTTCAGGGATGGAATAAAGTGCACACAGCTGAGCAGGCTTTGGCTGGAGACTCGCCCACTCCCAGCTGCCTGGTCACTGGTCTGACATCCCTGCCACACCCAGTGGCCAGGCAGCGAGTGAGGCCACCCCAGATTCCTTGCTGTTTATTCACTGCAGAGCCTCTCTGGTGCTGTCTTCCAAACCTAAAAACGTAGGTTGCGCCTCCTCCCAAGCTTGCAGGGGGTTGTGTGAACTGGGAACACAGGATTTGCTGTAGCAGGTGGTACTGTGCAGGGAAGTGCCCTGTTCAAGCACTAACCAAGGTCTGCTAAGGAAGCCAGCCACCCTCATCTGGACCATGGGAGGCAGCCTCCAGCCTCCAACTGCGTTTGCTAACCTTTGACTCTTCACAAAGGAAATAAAAGTGATAAAGAGAACAATGAAAATGGTAGCATTCTGGGGTCAGCCCAGTTGGCTTCAGGTTCTACCCCAGGGTTTCAAATATTTTCCAGTTGCAAAACTATCCTGCTTGTTCCTATCTTACAGGAAGTGTCCAAGGTGTCCCAGGTGGGAAATGGTTTTAATTCTTTTGGTTTGCCTCAACGACCTGTGCTGTTCTGTGTGGCTCTAGCTAACTCAGCTAATGGAAACGCCGCCTTCTCTGGACCCCAGAGTCTGGTGGTTTAAACAAAGCTGTCCCTGTAGACATTTGAACGCTTGGTTCTCGGTTGATGCTGCTGTTTTAGGGGGAGGCTCAGGGGTCATGGCTGTGCTGAGGAAGTATGGCGCAGGGGCAAGCTTTGAGAGGGCACAGCTTCACCCTGTTTACAGCCTTGCTCTGCGTTTGCAGTTGAAGATGTGATCGCTCTGCTGTCACCATGCCCACCCCTTCACTGCCAATCCCCTGCCACAGTGGACTCATCCTCTGGAACCATAAGCCAAAATAAACTTTCTTCCCCAAGTTGCCTTGGTTGTGGTACGTTGTCACAGCATCGGAAAAGTGATATCGGATCTGTTCTATGACCAGGCGAAAGAGAAGGAATCTGATAAGACACTTCCAAAGGGTTCTAATCACCATTAGCCCTGGCATGGAGTGCTGGCCAGGAGGGAATAGGGGCACAGGGCATTTTGGGACAGGCAGCTGTAGGGGCGAGCACCTACCCTGCCACTACAGCTCAGGTAGTCATGAGGCAGAACCTGACGGCTCTGGTCACAGTAAGACCTACAAAGCTTGGTGGGGCCCACCTGAACAGCTCCACCTCATCATCCCCGAATGGCTTGTAGTCCTCCTTCCCAAACATGCTGAGGTAGGCAGCCTTCATGTAGATGTAGGTGGCCTGTGGGAGACAGCAGCATGAGATGTGGGTGGCCCTCCTAGTCATACAGCCCCACGCTGTCACAAGTACCGTTCTGCCCTCACTGTGGCCCAGCACAGATGTACAGCCACCAAGCCCCTAGGGGAGGGTGCTGAAGCAACCAAGGAATTCGGTTTTCCGAGACAGGGTTCCTCTGTGTAGTCCTGGCTGTCCTCGACTCACTTTGTAGAAGAGGCTGGCCTTGAAGTCAGAGATCAGCCTGTCTCTGCCTCCCTGAGTTTTCTGGGTTTTGTTTGTTTTGAGACAGGGTTTCTCTGTGTAGCCCTGGCTGTCCTGGAACTCACTCTGTAGACCAGGCTGGCCTACAAAGATCCTCCTGCCTCTGCCTCCAAGTGCCAGGATTAAAGGTGTGCGCCGCCACCGCCACCAGCTTGCTGAGGACTTTTGAGCTAGATGTCTAGGAAGCAGTCTCCCTCTTCTCACCCCATCCAGAGAAAGACCTGAGCAGCATGGAGGGCACTGACACAAGGCAGAGGCAGGTGAGCACGGAGGGGTGCTCCAGGGAAGCAGCCACTGCAGGTGCCCCTTGAAGGAAGATGGCAAGACTCAGACACAAGGCTGCCCATCTGAGGGCAAGTAGGCAGCATGCATGAACCCACACATGGCGTGCAGTAGGGACTGTTATGAAGGAGTGAGAGGTCTAAAGCTGTGACCAGGACCATGGCAGGGCTCAGTGTACACCTGTAACGCTTACTTTTACACCTTCGTCTCAATCCCCCCGCAAGAAAGGACCTTGCCTACTAGATCCATAGGCCACCTGACAGGGAAAGTAGGGAGCCCCACTGCGCTGCAGAGTGACCTGCATAAGCACAGGTTCCACAAAGCACTGGGGTCAGGGCGGAGGTGTTCAGCTCTGTGCCGCCCTCAAGTGGCCAAGTTTTCAAACAGCTGCCTCCTAGGGCAGCTGCCAAGGAAAATAGCTGCCAGTGGCCAAGATAGAAATGGGGGAGAAGACAATGGACCAGGCCGGCCTGGAATCTCCGCCTGCACCATCCACGCTGGAGCACAGGCCCTTGGGGGCCCACCCTTCAAACCCGGGCCAAGCTGGCCTTTGTGGGTGTGTAACGGAGTGGAACCTTTAACACGGTGTCGCCTTGCCCACTGATTCTCCCTGGTCCCTGACAAGGGTGCACTGTGTTCCAGGGGCTGTACCTCTTGTCTAGCTTTGTTCTTCTAGACTGAATGTCTGTGATATCTTCTGGATTTAATAAAGGCATGGCAACAGTGCATTCACACCGATTCAAAAGTTAGCGTCATAAGCAGTGGAGACAGAGTCCACATCCCTTCTCCCTAGGAACATCTTTCTCACTGGAACACTGTCCCCAAAACAGTTGTGGTTTTGTTTTTTTTAATATAAGAATTTAAAGCGGACAGTGGAGCCTCTAATTAGCATGAAATAACCAGATCAAAAACCTTGTGATGTCTGTAAAAAAATTACTTTGAAAAGGTTTGTCTGACAATCAACCAATCAGAAAATGAGTTGAATCCAGGCATGGTGAGGCATGTATATGACTTCAATGACTGGGAAGTGAGGCAGGTAGATCCTGAGTTCAAGTCCATCCTTAGGATCACTCTAAGTTTGAGGCCAGCCTGGGCTAAGTGAGATCCTGTCTCAAAAAGAAAAAAGAAAGAGAAATGTACAAGAAATAAAGGGTCGTTTAGATAGCTCAAAGAGAAAGTGTGTGTGTGTTTTAATTAACCTATTCAACCTTAACAACTTGAGTTCAATCCCAGAAACCCACATAAAGGTGAAAAGGGAGCCCAGAAGACAACTTTCTGACTTCCGAAAGTTGTCCTCTGACCTCCACACACACTGGCACACCTGACCACAATGATATACACAATCATTAACAAGATAGACAGTTTTCAAAACGAGAGACACAAACGCACCAACACGTGGGGAAAAGCTCACCATCCTTAGCTAAGGGAAACTCAAAACTACGTTCAAGAAAACCAATGACAACCAGTACTGGTGAGGACATGGGTACAGAGGACCCTTACCGACTGCTCAGAGTGTAGGTTGGTGCAGCCAGCTTACCCCCCGAGAGTACACCCCAAGAATCAAGCTTCAGCTGCTCCTGAGGCTGCACCTCCTCCAGTGCTCGGGCCTCGGCTGCTTTTCCCAAGTCCTGCTTGCCTTCAACACCAGTACCGCCTGGGTGAAGTCACATTCCCACATTCAGCTTGGAGCACGAGGCACAATGCTGGCCACCTCTAGCTTCCGTGTACCAACGCCAAGGAAGCACTTCCCGGAAGGCTTCACTGGGTGATACCGGTCTCTCTGTAATCACTGCTAGTCTTAGCTACAGCTGACCAAAAACATCAACCCAGGAAAGCAAAGATTTCACTTCAGGGGTTCTGGTCTCTGGTTAATCACAGCTGCTTCTTCAGCCCCAGCTGACCAGAATCACAGACTCTCAACTCAAAATAGCAAACAGCGCTGACAGTCTCTGACCCTTGAACTTCACTTTGGAACTTCATAAGCCAGGCCCCCATCATCTGCATTGCTCTCAAAATTTTTATCTCCCAAGCTCCCACAGAACAACACATGAAGCTTTAAACACTCAATGGCTTTTCTAGCCCCAAATTCCAAAGTGCTTCCACTATCCTCCCTAAAACATGGCCATGTTGGTTATAGCGATACCCCAGTTTATCTTAGTTAGGGTTTCTATTGCTGTGATGAAACACTGTGACCAAAAGCAACTTGTGGAGAAAAGGGTTTACCCACTGTTCCATATAACAGTTCACAAAAGCAGTGAAGGCAGAAATTCAAAACAGGACAGGACCTGGAGGCAGGCGCTCACACAGAGACATGGGGGGTGCTACCTACTGGCTGCCCTAGATTTCACTCTATGGACCAGGCTGGCCTCGAACTCACAGAGATACGCCTGCCTCTGCCTCCCGAATGCTGGAATTAAAGGTGTGCCACCTTCTGGCTCAGCCTGCTTTCTTATAGAATCCAGGACCACCAGCCCAGGGTGGCAGCACCCACAATGGGCTGGACCCTCCCACATTAATCACTATTTAAAAAAAAAAAAATTTTTTTTTTTTTTCCCTACAGGCTTGCCGACAGCCTAATCTTACGGAGGCATTTTCTCAATGAAAGTTCCCTCCCCTCAGATGATTCCAGTTTATGTGACATAAAAACCAGATAGGACAGAGACCCTGTCTCAAAACAAAAAAACAGGGCTGGGGAGCTGGCCCTGGGGTAAGATGCTTGCGCAGGAGCCTGAGAAACTGAGCTGAGAACTTCAGGACACACAGGCCAGGCGTTTTTTGCAGGTGTCTGTAACCCCAGTTGGGGACTGGGGACTGGGGACTGGGGTGGGACTGGAGCAGGACAAACCCAGGAAGATCCCGAGTTCATTGGCAAGCCTGCAGAGCGGAGACGGCAGGGCTCGTGTTCAGTCAAGAGACATCGCCTTAATGAGGAGGAGCAGTGGGGAATGAATGACATTCGGGGCCAACCTCTGGCCTCCTTCATAGATCCATGCGCCAAATATGCGAGTTATTGAGTAACAGCTACCACATGGGAAAGATACTAATGTGGTCTCATATAGGCAAGAGGAATGTAGTCTGTAAGTTATACGGGAGGACAGAGGCAGAGGGAAATCCCTAAGCCACAGGGGCTAACGGACGCTGGACAAGACTTTAACAGCTCTGTGACAGCCAGTGGCAGCTGGGCGTGCTAGTGCCTGCCTTTAATCCCAGCCACTGCCCTGCTCCAGACCACAGCGGCTCCCTCCTGTGGTTCATGGCAGCCCAGTCTCCAAGACACACAGGGCCTACCCCTCAGCTGCCCCTGACTGGGGACTTTTTTCACTGGAAGCCAACATCAAACGCCAACATCAAAAGTGTTCATTTTGTGCACTTCATGTCACTCCAGGCAGAGCCTGCTAGGGTCCTCGCTTTGATCCCTCTGTGTTCCTGACCCAGGCTAGGGCCTGGCACTGAGCGTGCCCAGCCAAGAACTCAAGGTCCTCTCTGCTCCAAGAGCCTCTTGGCCGTCCACAACCTGTCCCAAATTCCAGGATCTCCTGGGGCCATCTCTCTACATCTTCCCATCTCTCCACAGCCCCTTGGGGCCTTGGCCTGTGAAAACACTTCCTCTTTTTGGCTCTTTCCTCAGAGGGCCTCCCTATCCCCACCCAACTGACCTCTTACCCTCACTGTACCTCCAGGAGTCAGGCTGGGGGATGAATGAACTGGGAAGTCATGGGGGACACCAGGTGGGCCATCCCCCCTCTGAACCAGGGCCCTTCTCCCTGGGGTTAGCTGTTTGCCCTCTAATTCCACACGCTAGTTTACCTCACCAGAGTAGGAAACCAGGCTGCTCTAGGTTTCCTCCGTCCTCTCGCTTTCTCTCCTCTTTCCCTAACTCCTCCCTGATTCTGCTCAGAAGTTCTGCCTTCCTGAAGCCCTCTGTACTCTTGGCTAGGTCTCTGGGGCTGCCCCTGGACTCTCAGCCTTCCACCCCGACGGCGCTGGCTTTGATAAAGCTGGCTGCGTGGGCAGTTAGGCTTTCTTTGTTTCATTTTGCCTACATGGTGTAACCGTAATCCTGTAACACTGCAATCTCCTTCCTCCTCTCTCACACACCCTCCCTAGTCACATCACCTCAGGTTTTTTTCCTCTGAAAACACCCCTCTGCTACTCTCTTTCCGGAACGGAACCTTCTCACCTGTTCCAGATGCCGGCACAGATGTGTGAGGCTTAATCGTGCACTCTGCTTGAAGCTAAGGGGAAGCTGTAACTCGGGGGGCAGCCCCTGGCCGCCCTTCCTGTCATACGGAGAGCAGCTGTCTGCAGGAGACAGATGTCAGGGCCACAGGTGGCATGGCTACGCCAACCCAAACGATGCGATTGGAATTCCTGGAGTCGGGTGGCGCCCAATGACTTCAGCTGTATGAGCTGAGGGGCCTCCGGTGGTTAAGATCTGTTTGAGCCCAGTGACCAGTAACTAGATCCACTGGCGCCATTGGAGTCCCCCAAAGTTTCTCTGCTCGACGCAGCTTTTAGCTCCTCCCACTCAAGTCCCACTCAGACATCTGGCTCTGTTCGGATCCCAGTGGACACGGCTGTGTTCAGCCAGGGTTTGGCCCTTCCTTCAGGGTCCCCCCGACGGCGCACCCCCAGAGTCAGCCCACCTTGGACCAGGAGTTCTCCTTGCTCAGCAGGTCAGCGTAAAAGTAGGCCATCTTCCACTGGCCCTTGTAGGTAAAGCACCACATCAGCTCCCAGTAACACATGTGGTGGAACTGCTTCCAGTGCTGCTGGGCCTCGCAGCACTCTTCAAAGCGCCGGATGGCCTGTGGGTGGCAGCAGGTCAGCGCAGCCCCAGCACACCCTCTGCAGCCTTCCACGCCACAGCAGGGACTGCCTCCCCCAGGGTACTATGGTCCAGAACTGAGCCAGGCCAAGATGGGGTCTGGCTTCCTGTCCTGGCTCTACGCTTAGCCGTTTGGGCCAGAGGCCCATGGCTGCCTCTCCTTTTGATTCGATTTGGTCATTAAGGGAGAGCATGGGATGGAGCATGCAGGGGAGGGGGGGCAGGAAGCACCAGATGTCACTGCTGTGACGTCTGCAGTGGCGTGTGCTCCCGTGGATGGATGTGGGTGGAGTCATCCTCAAGCATCTCTCCTCAGGGGCTATCGGCCTGTTTGGGGACAAGGTTTCTCCCCGGGATCTGGGGTTCCCCAGTTAGGCTAGGCTGGCTGGTCTGGCCGGTCAGCAGCCTCAGGCCTCCAGCTGCCTGGCCTCCCAGGTCTGGGATTCCATTTCCCACGTCTCCATGGTTACCCACGCCTGGGACTGCAGCCTGCCAGGGCTGCCTGGACACTTCCGGGACTCTACAGTGTAGCGTGGTACATTGGCACGGTGCCACGTAGTCAGGGACTTTGCCGTGACTGTGACCGTCCCCGTCTCTAGCCCAGTGGTCCAGGACCTTCCTAGGACGACCTTCCTGGTGCTGCGGCCCTCTATGTTGTGGGGACCCCAACCATAAATTACTTCTGTTGCTCCCTCGTAACTGTAACTTTGGTACTCTTATGAACCGTAACATAAATGTCTTTTCTGAGGTCTTACGAGACCCCTGTGAAGGGGTTGCACCCCACAGCTTGAGAACTACTGCTCTAGCCATTTCCAACGCTCTCTCTCCTCCACCCCCACCCCCATCTGCCACATCCAGCCTAGTCGCCGTGCCCTGGGCTTTTCCTGACCAGGAATGCCCTATCTCCTTATCGAAAGAGCACAAACGCCACAACCTCTCCTCTCCCAGACACCTCGGCCAGCCGTGCCCGTGCCCCCACCCCCACCCCGCTCCCCGCGCTGCTCAGGAAATCGGGCTCCTCCTACCCCCGAGGATGCTCTCCGTGTCTAACCTCTTGCAGGCCTGAGGCACACCCCCCCCAAAAGGAGCCCCCCCATCACTCACGGCGTCAATGTTTCCTTTGATAGCTTCAATCCGCCCAGCAAAGAACAGGAAGATGGCGCCCTGCAATGATACTCGTGAGGATCCGGGTGGGACCACTGGGTCCTGGGGTGGGGTGCCCAGCAGGCCCTGGTCTCACCTTGGGGTATCGGTTCAGGTAGGGCTTCAGCAGCTTCTCTGCCTCCTCGATGTTGACATTCCCTGTACCTGGAGGTGGCAGGGAGGGACAGGGCTTAGGTTACCACTGCTGGCCTGGCAACGTGCCAAGGCCTTCCCTGGGGCCTCACGATTCTCCCTGTCTCCCGAGGAGCAGGAGGTTTGAACAAGCTATGTGGACACTGTCCCGGGACATCGCAGGTTCAGTAATCTGGAGGCCCGTTCTGGGTCTGCGCCCAGAACCGCGGACGGCATCTTCGCACCTTCCACCAAGTGGCACAATCCCCCCCACCCACCCCAACCCCGTTCTCCAGCCGGAACCTGCGCAGGCTGGAGGCCCGGATGCCCCGCAGGCCCGGCGCAGGCTCCCGAGCAGGGTCTGCAGCCCGGAAGCCTCCCGCCCCTCCCCCGGGCCTCCTACCAAGCACGAAGGTGAGGAAGGTGTGGTAACACAGCAGCAGCATGACGCACAGCACCGCGCGGAAGCTGTGCCCGCTCGCGCCCTCCTCCAGCTGCAGCAGCCCGTAGTCCTGGGGGGACAAGACGACAGTCTGGGGTCCCCAGAGGACCACGGGAGTCCAGAGGAGAGTCTGTTCTCCGGAGGCACGGGCCAAGGGCTGGCCCTTCCATCTCTCCGTGGGCACCTGCTCTTGACCATCTTGGCACGGAAGCCAAGCTGCCCGGTCTGCTTAGGAGGATTCCCGAGCAAAGGAGTCCTAACCGTAAGCTGGTACTGATGGTGCCAGGAAGCCCGGGGCCCAGAAAGGCTTCCTGGGGAGAATGTTCCAGAATGTCTCTGGAGCCAACCCAGACCCAGCCTCTGTGTGTAGTCTCCGCTGACCTTCCTCTGCATTCTTGCCCTTTCTCAGACATGGGCCTGGCCTGCCTTCACCCTCCACAGCGGCTGCGCTGGCTTGGGACTGACATTCCTGCAGCCTCCCTGATAACTCCTACCCAACAGCTTGCTCTGGGGGGCCTCCAGCTGTGGACAGCTTCCCCAGGGCCCGGGATGGGCCTGAGGAGGCACTGAGCCTGCTTCCCTCCCCTGTGCTGCCCTTTTGTAGGCGCCCTGAGGAAACCCCATATCCGGGCTCACAGAGTCCACAGAGGAAAGGTGCTCGGGCACGCCGACCACACATCTGTTTCTGCAGACTGTCATGTGTCGGCTGAGAAAGGGTCTCGCCATGGAGCGCTAACTGCCCTGAAACTCACTATTATAGACCAGGCTGGCCTCGAACCCAGAGAGATCCACCTGCCTCTGCCTCCTGAGCGCTGGGATAAAAGGTGTGCTCCACCACCGCCTAGCTTGTATGGCACTCCTAATGGTGTTTTTGTGATTAAATAAGGTGGAGACAGGGAGGAGGCTGAGGATGACTCCAGTGCTCCTTCCATCACTCTGGCTACCTCCTGAGGGGGCCTCCCTGCTCCGCTTCCTCCAACCCCTGCTGGTGTGCATAGGCCTTGCCCTCAGTGGGTCCCCTGGTTCCTCTCTGAAGCACAGGAGGGCTCCCTGCTCAACTCACAGATGGCGGAGGGGTGCCCGAAGCTGACCTTGGACAAAAGGCCTAGCTCAAGGCCTGGGAGTGAGCAGTGGACCAAGGGGAGAAGGCGGGGCTCCTGACAAGTGCTGTGGAAAGACAACATGGTCCTCTCGGGCCGCCCTCAGTCTATGCTGCAAGGCCCCAGGCAGGGAGAGGTCTGTGGGGCTCAGAGAGAGATCTGAGGCAGGCCTGACACCAGGCCGCATGGCCCCTAGGCCCCACTCTGGACTGGGCAGATGGAGGGGACCCACAGGTGGGCGTTTACCTTGTTTCCTGAAAACCCGACAAACTCCAGCAGCCTCAGGATCCTTGTGGGAAGCATGGACAGCGTCTGTGGGGCCAGAGGCAGTGGGGGTGGAGGGCAGTGGAGGGGAAAGTCCCAGCACCCCGCCCAGCTCGGAAATCGAGGCCGCCTCTCCCAGACCCATGGCCTCTGCGTGCCATCGCCCTGGCCTGGCTCCTTCCTGCACATGTGCGCTTGCGTTTCCACGTCTCTCCCACCCAGCCCACACCCTCCCTCCGCCTGGACCACCCGTCCCTGCCTGAAACTCCTGCCGGACCTTTCAACAGCCAACCCAAGTGCTTACTTATCTTCCTCCCCTCTCCAGGAGCCCTGAAGAGAACTGGGGGCCCTGTCCCCCGTGGGTCACCGCTGCCATTAGGCCTGTCTCCCTCCCTCCCTTCCTCCCTCCCTCCCTCCCTCCCTCCCTCCCTCCCTCCGGGGCAGTGGTTAAAAGCCAGCTCTCCCCGGGGCTGAAGCAGTCTGCTTTCCTGGGCTTGTCAGTTTCCACGGCTACAATTACCTCCCCCCACTTGCAGAGGGGTTCAAGCTACCGAGTAGGCACAGGCAGTAGGCACATGTGGACTAGAGGGGTCACCCTCTGTGACCCTCCCCCCAGCTGGAGCCCGTAAGGCTGGTGACATTTTAGAGCCACCTCTGGGCCCCGCGCCTAGCACACAGCCAGGCACAGTGGCCCTCGGGGGTGGCCTGCGTGGGGTGAGTGGCCTCTGGGGCCCAGAGGCTGAAGAACCGGGGGATGGCCACTCACCAGGTTGAAGGCTCCCACGCCGAGCTTCACCCCGCCTTCAAAGTGCCTGTGGCTCTCTCCCTTGCTGTACTGCGAGGATTGGACCAGACTGTCCAGTTCCCTGTGGGAGGGTGGCTCTCAGCCACACAGCCAGGCCGGCCCCCATCCCTCCACCCCCCTGCCAGGGGTGTCTCAGAACGCAGCGGCGGCCTGTCTACAGTTCTGCAGACCCAGAGGCCTGATACCCAACACATCGCCATCTTGTCTCCTAGCACAGAGGTGTGCTTCTCACCCCTAACCGACACCACGCTGGCCCTGGGGGTACAACACGCTCCGTGGGCCTCTCTGCTGGGGGAAGAGGGAGCCTGTCCACAGTGTATGTTCATGGCATCCCTGGCTCCGTCCTCAGCCAGGATGTCTCTGGACTAGCGTCTCACAGGCAGTGACTGATTTCAGACTTGTAGATAAAGGATGGCAGGACGGACCCACTACTGGGCACTTGCCAATGCCCTCTTCTTAGGACCTTCTCTTGGGGTTGGCTTGACTGGAATCCATCCCTTTCTCCTAGTTGACAGCACTGAAGCTTTCTAGTCAGCGCTACCCCGGGCTTCTCGGTGCCAGGCACCAGAGGGCAGCATCGTGCACAGTAGCCCCACTCTGTCCCACAGCTCTCCTGTCTGGGAGACAGTCCCCCTCTCACTGAAAGCAGAATTGCCCCGGGCTGTGCTTAGTCTTCGGTAGAGAGGGTTTCTTTGAGATGGTGTTTAAGTGGACAGGTGGCCTGGGAGCTAGGCCCTGGACCTGGAGCTGGCCTGACGCACCACTCTGACAGGGACAATGAAAGCTGTGAGGCGTGAGGCGCAGATGAAGAATTGAGGGCAGGCCTAAAGGTCCTCGGAGGGACGTAGGAGAGGCAGCAAGGATGGGGGAGGGGAGCCCACGGACTGGGCAGCCGAAAGGGAGCCTGGGAGTGGGAAAGGGGCGGCCTGACCGGGCTTGTGTTTTGTAGTCACCGTTATGGAAGCTGGCAGGGACACTGGAGGGGACCGTGGCACTTGTCTGCTTGTCCGTACCATCTCTCCCTCCCCCCCAGCACAGGCTTGCAAGTGTCCTGCACGGACAAGAGTCACCTGGAGGATGCAGTTAGAGCACCAGGTGCTCTCACAGTGAACTGGGGAACAAGTTCTGCCGCCTAACATGTACCGTGTAACATAGGGGAGGGGGCTGGGCTTCCAGCGCTGTGTTGGATTTCAGACTTGTAGATAAGGGACTGGGGAAAAGTGCTCTGAGCTAGGTGTTCAGGCTTTCCCTCAGCACAGCTTGTCCCTGGCCCAGAGGACTTGTGTCAGGGATCCAGACATAGTGTGGGAAAGATTCTAGCCCTTGGGGAATGTGAGTCTGTGTGTATGTATATGTGCACGTGTGTCTCTGTGTGTGTATGTGTGTGTGTGTGTGTGTGTGTGTGTGTGTGTATCCATGTGTGTGTGTACATGTAGGTGTGGTGTCCGTGTGTGTGTATGTGTGTGTGTGTACATGTAGGTGTGGTGTCCGTGCACGCACGTGTGTGTGTGTGTGTGTGTGTGTGTGTGTGTGTGTGTGTGCATGTACTATCTCTAGTGTGTTAAAAGGTTAAGGAAGACATTGTAGGAAAAGTAGGATTTGGACTGGGCCTTTACAAATGGGTAGTTCTACCGATGTTTCTTAAAGTCCTCTGGCCGTCTGTGGCCCCACCTTCAGCCCAGGCTGTTTGTGGTGAACATGGGCCTTCTTTTTCTCTGGCAGACAAGACACTCAAGACGCCAAACACACAGGTATAGCCAGAAATCCAGAAGGTTCAGGGGTCCACCAATCTGCCCGAGCTCTCAGTTTTCTAGGTGGGCCTCCCAGGGGGCAGTCTGAGGGGCCAGGTAGCAGGCTCTGGCCCCCGGCTCCCAGCCCTCCACAGTCCAACCCCACTCACTTGTAAGTCTGGTAACTGTTTCGAACTTTGATGCCACCCTTGATGAAGCTCACCATGTTCTCATCCTGTGGAGAGGAGAGGGGACGAGAGCTGGGCAGGTGGCTGGAGCCAGAGGGTCACACAGGGCCCGACAGCCCTCCATCCTGTGCGAGAGCTATGCTGGGTGAGGTGGTCAGAGGCCACTCAAAGCAGACTGCCACACCCCCTTCCTCTCTCAGACAGACAGACACACACACACACACACACACGTACACACACACACACACTCGAGCACACCGTCAGCAGCGTCTCCCTCCAGGTAGGAGAATCTTGTGAGATGAGGAGGGGTGCTCGTTTTGGGGAAGTTGAAGAAAGTTGTTGTAACTCATTATTTGAAGTCCCAGCAGCCCCCAGTTTGCCTGGCAACCCCAATCCTGGTGTCCACTCACGGAAAATGAATGGACGGGGGCTGAGAAGTATCATCAGGAATGTCCACAGCATCGGTGTTCAAGAAACCCCAAACCAAAAGCAACCAAGACTCACCCGTGGAAAGCTAGGTAGAGGCATATTTACACAAGAGAGTATTACCCAGCCACACAGGGTGCTGAGGCCCACACAACTGGATGCCAACCAAAGCATAACAACCTGCTGCTCAGACACAAACGGCCACGAAAGGCGAGTGACAAGGAAGGTGATGGCTTCCCCTGGGAAGGAGGTGGGGCGGAGGGACAAGCCTTGCTGTGTAGACCTGGCCTCCAACCAACTCAGAGCATGTGTGTAAGAATAACACGTAATAATAAAACAAAAGTCTTGCTTCAGTGCATCCTAAGCCGAGGACTAGCCCACTCCGATCACCCAAGGGCCAAAAGATTGTGTTTTAAAGAGCTGAGGGGCATCCGCCCATGGCACCCAGGAGTCAGGTCCAGGGTCGGCATGACAATCCTAAGGGTGTTCCGGTGGCAGCCGTGCCTTAGCAGTAACCAACAGCTCTCTCACTGGATTTAAGATTTGCACACTAAGAGGAAAACCATATCTAGTCCTGGAGACCTAGCCAACAGCTAGTGCTAGCCAAGGGTCCTGGGGAATCCACACTCATGAATTTACCAACCCAGCCTAATTTCTAACAACGATCTGTGAACATCTGTCCTTCCACCCACGGAAATTTCATCCCCGGAAGCTTCTTTTTGTAATGGATGGGGACCACTACAGAAAACCACAACCAATCAAAATGCAGAGCTGCGGAGGCCAGTCCCAGTGGGAACACTGCGGAAGATGGGGCACAGATTGTAGGAGCCCGAGGATCAGGGAGTTTGCCGTGAGACTGTGTCTCCTGGGATGTCTGAGGCTGCAGCCAGAAAGTCTCACCAACGTGACCGCCCAGCTGGGAGCTGAACTAGGATGAAAGCAGCACACATGCCCGAGCAGACGGGGGAAGGCCAATGAGGCCTCAACCCCAGGCAAGGAACTACAGGCAACGGAGGAAAGCTGGAAGTGGGAGGGGGTGGTCTTCTCCAGGGAGGGACACACCAAGCGGCTGTCCAGTGCCAAACTGCCAGGCCTGAGAACATGCAGACGAGTAACATTACATGGACTGAGTTACACTTTAAATACGTATGTGTAAACATATAAACAGACGCATGCAATCACAGTTAGTGAAAAAGAAAGCCCATACATCTGCAGGCTGGCGAGGAGGGGTGGGTAAGGGAGGTTTGGGAGGCAGGAAGAGAGAAGTGTTGTGATCAAATTCCAGTTTAAGGGGCTGGAGAGATGGCTCAGTGGCTAAGCTGTTCTTCCTGAGTTCAGGGCAACCACAACGTGGCTCAGAAGCAGCTTTTGTTTGTTTGTTTGAGACAGGGTTTCTCTGTGTAGCCCTGACTGTTCTGGACTAGCTATGTAGACCAGGCTGACCTCAAATTCATAGAGATCCGCCTGCCTCTGTCTACCAAATGCTGTAATTACAGGCCTGTGCCACCACCAAGCCTCTAACCCCAGTGCTCAGGAGGCAGAGGCAGGCAGATCTTTGTGAGTTCAAGGCCAGCCTGGTCTACAGAGTAAGTTCCAGAACAGCCAAAGTTACACAGAAAAATCCTGTCTTGAAAAAGCAAACAAACAAAAAAATTTTATGATTAGAAAAGAAAAGAGCTGAAAATATACACACAAGTAATATTTTACAGACCGATACACTGTCTCACTGGCTTTTCTTCTAGAGGGCCTCAGTTAAAGTCCCAGCACCCACATGGTGATTCACAGCAACCTATAACTCCAAGTCCAGGGAATCTGGCCTCCAAGGGCACCAGGCATGCATGTAGCACAGAGGCATATATGCAAGCAACACACACACACACACACACACACACACACACACACACACACACACATAAAATGTAAGTAATAAAACAGTATTTTTAAAAATTAAAAATAGCTAAGGAATCCAGGTCTGGTAGCACACACCTTTAATCTAAGCACTTAGGAGGCAGAGGCAGGGGGATTACCATGAGTTCAAGGCTCCTTTGGTCTGCAATGTGTTTCAGGTCAGCTAGAGCTGCCTATTGAGACCCTATCTAAAAACACAGGAAGCAGCTAAGAAAATAAATAGCACCCAACACTGAAATGCATCTGCCCTCCTCCAATACACACGCATACAATATACACGATGATGGCTGCCGTGTTCTAACAAAGCAGCTCTAGCAAAATTCTGCACTGACATTGTGGTAGGGAGATCTGTCTCTGACTTGGCCGGACCCAAATTCAAATCCCAGTTCATTAGTTGCTGATCACGTGACCCGAGGAACCCTCTCCCGAAGACTCTGCTTTGCTGTCCTCTGAGGTGAGGGTTAAGTAACAAGTGTGAGCACGTCCAAAGGACCTCGTGTCATGGCAGGGATGCAAAGACATGTCCAGGGCTGGGGAGATGCCACACAAGCCTCAGGACAGAATTGGGTCCCCAGAACGCTGGTGTTTAGCCAGATGTGCCTCTGTAAGCCTTTCCAGAGACTCACCTGACACCTGCATGCCGGCTAGCCTGGAGCCACAGCTCAGCCACAAAAATAAGAGACCAAGCAGGAGAGCACCGATTCCCGAAAAGCTCTCCTCCAACCCCCGCATCCACAGCGTGCCTTCCCCCTTCCCATCACAGGCACGCATGCGCACACACACGCATGCACTAAATACATACATGTTTTAAAAGTTGGACCGTGACGGGGAACGACAACTGGCATTCACCTGTTCTCCACACACACATACATTCACCACAAGGATAGGCAAAATGTCAGGCCTATGTACACACAAAGCCTGTTATGTCACTTGCTACAAGGGTTTGCTGCACCAATCGAGCAAGGCGGGTCCGTGGCCATGCCTATGTCCGTGTGACTCCTGACAGGAGCAGCAGCAGTGACCAGAAGGAAGCAGCACCTCGAGAACCCTGGACGTGTGAGGAGGAAACAGCCAGCCCTCCTCCTCCAGCTCGGCCAGGGTTGGGAGTTGAGGACCGAGCCTCGGCCTCTGCCACCTCTCAGGGGACAGGCAGGTCAGGCTTGCACACGGCGATTGCACACATGTGGGGTGAGCTGAGGTGCGGGAGCACATCCTACCTGCAGGAAGGTCAGCGCTGCTCTCTGCAGGAGGCATTCTGCATAGCAGACCTCTGCGTGGATTTCCTCTGCAGGAAAGACAAAAAGCACAACCAAACCAAAGCCTGGGCTTCTAGTCAGGAGGCTCCGGTGAGGCCACAGCGAAGTCACAGAGGCCCGTTCTAAGCAGCTCTGGGGGGGGGGGGGAGGCACAGCACTCTTCCTGACCCCCGGGTGGTGCTGGCTTAGGTGGCTGCTCTCACCTGCTCTAACCCTTCCTTCAGGGGCCACAGGCCAGGGCCACCTTTGTGTCCCTGCATTATGCCACATAGCACAGCCCCCTTGGGGGCCACCAGAATGGATAACCTTTCTCTCCTCCCCTCCCCAGGCCTGGGGCCACCAGAGTCCATGCTGGGGGGGACACCTCGGGTGCCACACCTTCCGTGAACTGCTCCATGGTGGGGCGGTGCACCAGGTTGCTGAAGGAGTCGGTCATCGAAGACTTCCTCCGGTGCCTGGGGAAGGAGAAAGGCCCCCGGTGATTGCACGAGGTTGAGAGAGGGACACACACTCACACACACGCTTTGCTACCCTCTCAAATGTTGGAAGGTTTGTGGCCACCCTCCGCAGGAGTCTCCAGACTCCGATGCACAGCTCTCCCAGTCCAGCCCCTTTTATAAACGGAGAACGTAAACTCCTGGGAGGGACCTGCCCAAGACAGTTGAAAAGTGGCAAAGACAGAGAGCCCTTGTTCTCCCCAGTGACCGGCTCAGACTGGACTGGACAGCCACGCCAACGGGGACACAGCAAGACGACACACCAGGCTCTTGCTTAGGACAGGAAGAGAGGAGTGTGGGCCTCGCTACCCCATCCCTGTCCCGCCGCTCCAACCTCTGACACAGCGACTGTGCCTCCTTCATCATGTTGCCAGCATGCAGGATGTCCTGGGGGTCGAAGGTCATCATGGCCTGCATCTCCAGAATGGTGGCATACGTCAGTGAGTGGTACATGCTCTCCTTGGTTCTGTGGGACAAAGTGGACACAGAGGTGGCTGGCTGGCCGCAGACCTGCCAGCTCCTCCGGTGACATAGTTCCAAAGTTTAACCCTTTCATGGCATCTCAGATGACCTCCAGAGGAGGAGGAAGGGCAGAGCAGGAACGGGAGTGGGGTAGGAAGGTAACAATGCATCGCAGGCAAGCAGGAAACTGCCGAGACTTTAAAAACTAAGAGACAAAAGATATCCATCTGGTTCCCAGCTCTTCTTCCTGCTGAGTGACCTCAAGTAGACCTCCAGGTCTAAGCCTCACCAGTCTCTCCTGGAGAGGGGGACACAGGTCCTGACTCTGGCTGAGGCTGCCCTTGCTTCTGCGCCTCCTCCAGCAGGCCAACCTCTGGTCCTGATTACTCCCCCCCAACCCCCCCCCCCCCCCCCCCCCGTCCCCTCTGATCTACAGCACCCGGCTGAACCTCCCAGCACTCAAGACTGTAACCCGGACACAGCAAGATGACTCGGCAGGCAAAGACACTTGCCACCAAGCCTGACCACCTCAGAACCCACACTTCTGCAAGGTACTCCCACACCTCCCTCCTCCAGGCCCTTGCCCAGGCTGCTCCCCCAGCCTGAGATGTCTTTCTCCTGCTCCACATCTTCTGACTCAGTCACCACAGTCTTCAAGCCCTCGGGGAATTCAGGCTCCTCCCTGGGAAGCACATGTCCATGACAAGGCACCACCACACTGAGCCCCCCTGAGCACAGGCTTCAATCTCCCTCTAGACTGTGGGTACCGAGGGCCAGCGCTTGGCTGGGACTCATCTCTGCACCCTGACGTGACAGGCCTGAGCCAGGGCAGCCCCGGAAAGGCTTCATCCCCTGCCTCCCTGCACCTCCACAAACCCTACCTTCTACACTAAAGGGCGACTTGGGGGCACAGAGGCAGCATTTAGCCCAATGTGGACAAAGCAGAGGGCAATAACGGCTGGAAAAAGGAACTTGGCTGTTACTCCAGCAACAGGGGCTGATGCTGCCGAGCAGCCAGGACCACTGAGGCTGGCAGGGGAACAGCTGGCCTGATGTGGCTGAGGCCTGCATGGTTTGGTTCCCTTCCCCAAGCGCCTCTGTCAATTATTTACAAAACTCCTCAGCCCCAGGACAATGCTGGGAACATCGGAGGAGAGAGAGATGACTAAATTTTATAAAGGGTTTTATTGTTAGATCACGTGACTTTAGCCAGCTTCCTTTCTTGTTAAAGCAAAGCCTGTGGGTGAGTTACTCTTTTCCTTCTGGGCGACCCTCAGAGGTTAGGATTTTTGTTTTATTTTACTTATTTGTTTGTTTTGAGGCAGAGTCTCAGACTTCTCCCTCTGCCTGCCACGGGCTGGGATTACAGCCATGCACCACTATACCAGGCTGTGCCAGCTATTGGTCAGGATTTTTGAGGACCAAAGGAACAAAAGGCTGGTGGACTTGTCCCCATTCTGCCAGTTCCCAGAAATCTCCCAGCCTGTGCCACGGCTGCTCTATGTAGGGACCATGGCTTGTGGAAGGATCCGGCTGTCCGTAGTGGGGGGTGCTGGGGGTCCCTCAGACACAGGCTGGAATTGTGGCTTTGCCGGTCACCTGCGTGACTCTGGTAGTTCTGCTGGCCTCTCTGAGTCTCAGGATTCCCTCTACAGAAAACAAAGGCAGCTGGGCGTGACAGCTTTAATCTCAGCACACTCGGGATGCAGAGGTAGGCAGATCTCTAAGTTCCAGGCTTCCCTGGTCTATATGGCAAATTTCAGGCCGGCGAGAGACCTGCCCCCAACCCCAACACAGACAGAGAGAGGAAGAGGAGGAGAAGAAGTGAAAGAAAGAAAGAAAGAAAGAAAGAAAGAAAGAAAGAAAGAAAGAAAGAAAGA